ATATATATATATATATATAAGATATTTTTCTTTTTTCAGGGGAAATTATGTTTCTTGCATGGGGCATTAAAGTGTGTTACAACGTTCGCAACGCAGAAAGTCTTTTCAACGAGGCCCGTTTAATAAGCTACGCTATTTATAATATAGCAGCTGTGAATATAACCATGATCGCTATTCAGTATGATTTTTCATCTTTACTATTTGTTCCCAATATTACTACAACTTAAAATTTAAATTTTATGACTTTTTGCAGTCTTTTCATTTTTCCTCATGCTGGCCCAGATATCAAATATTTATTAGGTTTCTTACGTACACAGCTGTCTACTTCTGTCACCATATTTCTTGTATTTGGACCCAAGGTAATCTAATTATTTTTTCCCTGTAAGGTAAAATAATATGTTGAATTTTGAAACAATCCAACAAACATCATTTAATTCAGTAATAAACATTATTTCACTCAGGTGCTTCGAGTTTTACGAGGTCAAGGTGATCAATGGGATAGTCGTGCTAGAGCCCGTGGTGTTACAGCGAGTTTCTCATTAAACGGCATCGGCCTTGTATCCGAAGAAGCGACTGATCTACATCAGGAGAACGAGGAACTGAAGGTATATTGTTCTAGTTCACATGATTTTTATATTTATTCATTTATTTATATTTTTCATTTTATATTTTTATAATTAAGCGCAATGATTATCAACTTGAGAATTTATTCATAATAATATTAATGTATTCTTCAAGAATATCTTATTATTCCTATTTTTTTTTGGAAGCCTAAAATTTTCATCGTTTCGTTATTTATTTTTAACATATAGTTTAACTCTCTATAACCAGAATTTTTATTTACAAAAAAAAATTTTATTAGTTAATTCTAATTACTTACTTCAATTTAAAATTTGAAAACTGATAATCATCATAAATGAATCATTTGATATTTTTATTTGCTGTCATCAATGAAATAAAATACAGAAACAATAAACAGACAAAATAAAATTTTCAAAATGTTAAAAAGGACTCCTCGGTATGTATACGAATTTCGTTGAAATTTCAAGATGAGTTTTTATAGCAATAAGCAATATGATAATAATATAATAATCCTTCCATTTATGTGGACTTTTTGCATACAATTAATTTATAATTTATAATTTATAATTTTTATTGAATTTACTACATATCAGTGAAACGCAAAGTTCCTTAGTTTAGAATTATTTTAATTTTTAGAATTGTAATTAGAGTCATTTTGATTTTTTTTAAAATTATGATATCAATGCCAACAACGAATAAAATTTATTTATTTTTCTGAATTTTTGATTTTTTTAAATTATTTTTTTATAAAAATATGGAAAATAAATATTTTTATAATATTTTATAATATTTTTAATGAATTATAACTAATTTTTCTAAAACAATATCATAAACGAATTTTAACAAAAAAAATAGAAAAAAATGATACTATGTTTTATTTATATGCAGCATGCCTTTCTTCCATTTTAGTTCTTGTTTTATAACTCAACGACACTGAATAAAAAAATAGAAATAGAAACACTGACAATGAATGAAATAATAGAATAACACGTCCATGTTATCAATAATACGTCCCATTGTCTTTAATATTTATTATTATACTTTTATAAGTATATGTTTTTAAATGCAATATTTATATTTCTATCACGAAGATTTGTCGAAAAGAGACAAATTCAACGTAATTAAACAAATTGTATTTATGAACAGCGATGATATTATTTGCGTAACTTTGCCATTTGGTTTTTTCATATTCAATATAAGGGATATGAGAATTTGAAAAAATTATTTTTGCTTTATTTAATTCAAATTTCTTGAAAATCAGAAATATGGATTAAGTTATTTTTGATATCATTGATGATTTTATGTGATTCTATTTAAATAAGTTTTATTTAAATAAAAATGATACTTTTATTGTTTATTACTTATTATTACTAATATTTATATAATTAATTTTTTTCATAAATAAATTTTTTAAATAACTTTGATCCCTGCTTTACATATTTTTCCTTCTATCATAAATTTCATAAAAAAAATTTTAAAAATCAAATACTTAGCAAGAATAATAAAAAGAATGTTGTCCTATTTGCTTTTTCAACTAAACAACTAATAAAGAGGATATTAAATATTTCTCGAACTCAATAATTATTATAAAGGAAGTATTAAATATTATTAATACTTATATACTGAAATTACACTCATAAAACCGTGTCTTATAAAAGATTTTGATGCTTATTAAATAAAAAATTTTTATTTTAGAATCATTCTTACTTTTTCTTTTAATGTCAATTCGGAGAATACACCACCCCTCGTAAGCGTCCGCTTTTGGTCTCGACTGTGGGACGCTTATGAGGACACCATGTATTTAGATCGATAAATTCATCGTGAAACGTTGTCTACACTTCGAATAAAAATTTTTAAAAATGGATATCACCCTGAAATCTTAGAGGCATATTCAC